TTATACATATATAGTAGTACTTTGTGTTTGTGTGTTTGTTTGTTTGTTTGTTTGTCCGATCATAACTCAGACACCCCAGGACCTATTTGCCTCAAATTTTCACTCGAAATTGGGGATTGAGATTCTAACTTCAGTGTGTCCACTTTTAAGGAACAATTCAATAAACCGTAATTTAAGACCTAGTGCGGGTAACAATAAGTAACCTCGGCAAGCTAGTGTTCCATATTTCCTATTCCAGGTTTTTTCGTTTCGTTTTGATGTGTGACCACTAACGATATGTGAACGTTATCGATGTGTGAACGTTATCGATGTGTTACCATTAACGATGTGTTACCGTTAATGATGCGTGACTGCTAATTATGTGTGCACATTAGCGATGTTTTACTGTAAATGATGCGTGACCACTAACAATGTGTAACCGTTAATGATGTTCAAATAAGATGTGGATTGACTTGAAGAACAGATAAAATGAACAGTTTAAAAATAAATCCGTTCACTCTCGAATTTTCAGCTTCTTGAACATCGGTTCTAGCTGCATTCTTTAATTTTCCCTCGCTAACGGAAAACCTTGTTCGTAAACAAATAATTGCTATTCTGAACAGCGCCAAGCCCTACATACACTGCTTCAAAATAAACTTAAACATTCTTTGTCCCACATCAGGGTTTTGAGTATTAAGTGCACCCTGAACTAACGAGAGAGAGAAGCATTCGGTTTCTTTTATTTAAAATCAAACATGTTTCCGTATATAACTCAACAGTCTTTAGACTTACAGATTTGTTTATATTATACTTTTTCATTCAAAATGTGTATGCCAACAAAAAAGCATTTCAGAGAAAAGGCTATAAAATTATGTAAAAGGGGTCACATTGTGATCGAAAGTCACAGTTTTCTGAAATATTGACAGAACCGTTAAATCCACGTGAGTGCGTATTTTTGCGTTATAAGCTTGAATATAATCCAATATGATATGGGATGTATCATGTAGTATTCATCAACTTATGGCTATCATCAGAAAGGAGATTTTTATTTTAGATTCAAAGAGTACAATTTACAGCACAGTTGAAAGTACTGAAAACTTTAAACCTATATTTAACATTTCAATCTAACTTTGATTTGACATTAATCAGAGTTCTTGGGAGTTAGTATTCACTGAAGATACTAGACTGAGCTTGGAGTTTATATATGTATAGATATATACTATTTATCTATGTAGAATAGAATATAATAGAATAGAATAGAATAAAATAGTTAGTAGAATAGCAACAAAAAAGGGTTTATACATAATACTTCAAAAACATCCAAATCTCATAAAATATCAAAAAAAACTTACATTTTTAGGATACACTATTTATAGACTATTTTCGGCATCCTATAAAGGGAGAATATTTACCCCCATTGCCTTCATCTGTTTTCATACATACGGATCTAGAGGATCAGGTATATACAGGGTGTCCCACAAAACGTGACAATGTCATATTTACTTAGACACAATGTATCAGAGATAACTGGGCACCGTTCCAAAATTTCAATGCATCAGTGTTTTCTAAATACATAAAAAAGGGTTGATAGTTAAAATAAAATTATTAAAAAATGGTTTTTAATGTTTTATAAAACCTTTAGGTTATTCATTCTGTTTTAACAGTTTTAACATTGGGTTTGCAAAAATGTGTAAAGTTTATATGTGCTTTTGTATTTCAAATTATGTAAATCAGAGGTTCGATGGCCGTAGATGTCGCTTGCTTTGGCAAATAATTTTCTTTTTTTAGTACACTGTACATTTCAGTACACTGTACATTTTAGTACACTGTACATTTCAGTACACTGTATATTTTTTCGCATTGTTCCCTCGCGAAAAAAGCGAAAATTTTTGCTTTTTTCGAGAACTTTGCTTTAATCTGTTTCGCGAAAAAAATGCAAGATTTTAGCGAAATAATAAATGCGAAAATTTTGCGAAAAAAGCAATTGCGAACATTTTTAATGGGAAAATGCTAATATTTTGCGAAACAAATGCAGAGGAGAAATTATTTATTCTGATGTAATAAAAGTTCTAATCTAAGTTTCTTTGCTTTTTGCGGAATTTTTTTTTTTCGCAAAGTTTCGCATAAAACAATTTTTCAGAGCAGAGCAGAGCTCGGGCCCACTAGCCCATTCTATCCTCAACACTATAGGCACCTAGTCTTTGAAACTTCAAAACAATGCCAAAAATATGAAAATGCAAACCTTGATTTTACAAAATAATAAAATATTTTAGAAAGATAGAAGATCGACCTTAAATTTTATTTATATTATTTTACCTACCACTGTACAGTCAATTATAAGACAAAAATCAAAAATTAAAACGTATTATTGTTACTTTTTTCCAATAATTGAAAATACTTTCTAATTTTTATTTTTTAATTAATTTGATTTTGACAAGTTTCTACTAATTATCCAGGGAATCAAGGTGTTGGACCGATTTCACTTTTTGCGAATATTTTTGCAAGTCTGCAGATTTTTAGCTTTCTTGCATTCACCTTGACATTGGATTCATCTCATTTCAACCCAGAGCGGGTACTTGTCACTTGTCAGTAGGGATGGGACACAGTTTTTAGTTCGTTTTTCAATGTGCTTATTTAAATTTATTGTATTTTCAGCAAAAAGTAATTTTTGGCATTGAAATCTATTAATATAAAGCGGTTATTACTTCTAGTCTAACAGAATATTTTAACAGACAAAGCTGCCCTAGAATATGTTAAAAATATTCCGTAATATTCAATAAATTTATTTTTCCTCATATGATTGTGAATTTTCAATTAGAACGAGTTAAGATCTGTGCTGAAGGCGTTAGCAAGGTAAACTGAAGATTCTACACTGTACATTGATAGCTGTACACTGTACATTGATGGCTGTACACTGTACATTGATGGCTGTACACTGTACATTTATGGCTGTACACTGTACATTAATGGCTGTACACTGTACATTGATGGATGTGTACTGTACATTGATGACTGTTCACTGTAAATTGATAACTTTACACTTTACATTGATGGTTGTGCACTGTACAATGATGACTGTACACTGTAAATGATGACTGTACACTGTACATTGATAAATGACTGTACATTGATGGCTGTACACGTTACATTGATAACTTTACACTGTATATTGATGGCTGTACACTGTACATTGATGGCTGTACACTGTACATTGATGGTTGTACACTGTACATTGATGGCTGTACACTGTACATTGATGGCTGTACACTGTACATTGATGGCTGTACACTGTACAATGATAGCTGTACACTGTACATTGCTGGCTGTACACTGTACATTGATATCTGTACACTGTACATTGATGGCTGTACACTGTACATTGATAGCTGTACACTGTACATTGATTGCAACTGTAAATTATTCATTACGGGCTGTACACTGTACATTGATAGCTGTGCACTGCATACTGTAAACTATAAAATGTTCCTGTACACTTTACTTTAACCCTTCTCCGCAATATATTAGTTGTACATAATAATCTGTCCAAAGCACATGCTTTACAATTTATGCACATTACAGACAATTTTCACTCTTTTTTTCGTGTCCCCCTGTATGCAATATACTATTCTTAAAAGACAACTAAGATGAGTCCTGTTTAGGTTCCATGCTGATGGTCTAGCTTTCATCAAAAGAAATAATATTGAGAAATATACTTTTATCAAGGTTGGTTCACATTTCTTTATTCCTTGATGCAATATTTTTTATATCTTTTACTTTTTAGCATTGCAGTGCAGGTTAAGGTGTCCACAAATGATTGCTAATTTTAAAGAATGGATCGCACGATGAGCGCAGTAACTTTCCCATTGCACTTCGACACCTCTTGAACTTTAGGAAATAATTGCCACCAAAGTTTTGAAAAGTACTTAAGAAAGTAAAAAAAATAGCATAAAATGCTACATATTTTTTTCAATCAGAGAACTCGGTTCTGTTGCAATTTTTGAAAAAATATTAAAAATAAATGAGTTATATAAAAAAAACAGTTCGAAATGCTCGTTTTTTGGATACAACTTTTTAAATAATTTAATTTCAGCAGATAATATCTTGATGGACAATAACGCAGAAAAGGAAAAAAAAATATTTTGGAGCTGTGTAGGTCTTTTCAAACTTTGACAGCGATTATATCCTAGAGTTTCAAAGATATTGAGCAAAAAATTTTAACTAGTTCTCACGGTGGTACACATTGGAATGGGATTGGGAATAGCTACCACGCGCAACTTTTTTTTCAAAAGTAGGTCATCTGTGGACACCTTATTGCAGATATTGTTGAATATTTAAAAATAAAAAAGTATTCAATTTATAAAATACGAGACTGTTAAGGCTTTATAATTAACAATATTTTAGATTTTAACTCTAAACGTTGCCATTTTTAAAGTGCAAGCGACAGTAAAATTCCCTTGACTTCCCTGTAAATTTGGAAATATCTAATTCATCTGCTGGACTAATCGGTTCAGCCGTTTATAAGTTTTTTATTAGATCCAAATAAAATAAATATCTGATAAGATTTAAAGGTGTACATGGATATAAATATAAAAAGTAAATTATAAATTTTTTTGCAATATTATATTTTTATTTTTGTTGCAGGAGGACACAGGACGGATAAAGTATGCTCAGAAGCTAATAGATCAGTTTTTTGAACCCTTCCTCATTTATCTAGGAAACATACTGTACACTGTAGTAAACTTAGCATTTAAGTACACTGTACATTTCAGTACACTGTACATTTTAGTACACTGTACATTTCAGTACACTGTACATTTCAGTACACTGTACATTTTAGTACACTGTGCATTTTAGTACACTGTGCATTTTAGTACACTGTACATTTTAGTACACTGTACATTTCAGTACACTGTACATTTTAGTAGAATGTACATTTTAGTACACTGTACATTTTAGTGCACTGTACATTTCAGTACACTGTAAATTTTGAATGTACATTTAGTACACTGTACATTTCAGTATACTTTACATTTCAGAACACTGTACATTTTAGTACACTGTACATTTTAGTACACACTGTACATTTTAGTACACTGTACATTTTAGTACACACTGTACATTTTAGTACACTGTACATTTCAGTCCTGATGTACAAGGGGTTGTACAATTCTCAGCTTTACAGTTGCATGAGCAATCTATTTTTATCTAGGATGTCAGTACACTGTTAATAGGGTTTCCAGCGAAAAGGGTAAATCGTTTCGCGAAAATGTCGCATTTTTAACGAAAAATTTCTTTAACTTCGAATTTTTTCGCATTGTTCCCTCGCGAAAAATGCGAAAATTTTTGCTTTTTTCGAGAACTTTGCTTTAATCTGTTTCGCGAAAAAAATGCAAGATTTTAGCGAAATAATAAATGCAAAGATTTCGCGAAAAAAACAATTGCGAACATTTTTAAGGGGAAAATACTAATATTTTGCGAAACAAATGCAGAGGAGAAATTATTTATTCTGATGTAATAAAATAGTTTTTAGTTCGTTTTTCAATGTGCTTATTTTCTCTCAAGAAACCTGGGCTTTTAGGGCCCTGTTAGCTTTTAACTGATGCTCTGAAAGTGGCGTTTTGTACCCTTCAATAAATTTTGGCAGATTTTTCAATTCAAATTAACGCATTTTCAAAAATAATGAATTTCAATATTTTATACGAGGCTAAATTGTTAAACTTTGACGGTCATGTGGGTTGCCTTAACAAATTTGGGCCAGATCGGTTTCAGCCATTTTGACGTTTATTGGATACAAACAGACCGACAAGCAAAGTATATAGATAGTATAAACTAAAATTGTTTTGTTTGAACTGTTGGAGGACATGATTTTTAAAAGAATGAAATGACACTGCACGTCACAATAATTCACAACATGTACATACAGCATGTACACTGTACACTGTACAGTTTATAATGTTTTGCAGAACAATTTGATTCAGTGAGGCCAGCCGTTGTAACACTCAGGTATTTTAAACCAAAACCAGGGGCGCATAAAAGAGGGGGCGCCCCCCCCTCTTTAAAACTTGAATTATGGTTTCCAAAGTAAAATCCCCCTCCCTTGATATAATTTTAACTAGCCAGGGCAAGCAGTACAGTAGAAATACAGACTATATATTAATAAGGCAAAACGGGAAAGTACGCCAAATGTTAGATTCCCTTCTAGTGAAATCTATAAACCCAAAACAAAATGAAGGGCTTACAACATTTTCACAAATCGTTTTGAAAATTTCAGGGAACTGCAGAGTAAAGGAACGATATTAGAAGTTGCTTTCCCTCATCTTTATGGAAAATCTAACCCAGCCTTCCTTTCTATCTGCCACAGGTTAAAATATAGTTTAAACATTTCTTTTTTTCTTTCTTAATCTAACCCAGCCTTCCTTTCTATCTGCCACAGGTTAAAATATAGTTTGTTAACACAAATTCAAAATATAAGGAAGACGATTTTACCGACTCAGATGCCGTGGTCTATTCTTAAGACGTGTGTATCCATTTCCGCTATGAAGCACCCACATGTCCCCCTTGCTCCTCACCCCTTTACACATCCCAGCCCTCAGTCAGGTTAGGAGAGTTGAGCTAGTAACAGCTCCGACACAGGGAGCCTCTTGACTCCTTTATGATGATGACGCAGATACTCAGCTAGCAGCAGACGTGCTTACCCGAAGGGTTCCCAGTTTATCATGCATTCCAGAGACAACATAATCGCTCAATAGCATCATGATAAAACCACGATCTCTGCCTACTAGGTTGGGTAAGCCCTGTTGTTCCAGTTCCTGTTGATCTGCTCCACCAACATGAAGCTCTACATCACTCCCATGAAGTACCCTCAAATATCCATCATTAATTCCTTTGTTAATTTCTAAACCAACCAATTTTAACCCATTCTTGGGCAAATATTTCAAAACTTTTGTTTTAATTAAATAAATGTTAGAAATATCCATTTGGATCTCTTTTATTTTATTATAATGACTTTTAAAGTCAACAAGTTTAAAAATTTCTTTTTTTCGTTCTTAATCTAACCCAGCCTTCCTTTCTATCTGCCACAGGTTAAAATTCAGTTTAAACATTTATTTTTTTTTTCTTGATCTAACCCAGCCTTCCTTTCTATCTGCCACAGTTTAAAATATAGTTTAAACATTTCCTTTTTTCTTTCTTTTTAAGCTGGTTGACTAACCTACATACAGGGTTACCGACAAACCCACAAAGTTTTAATTGCATGGAATCAGGAATATAAGAAAACAGACAGTATGAAATATGTAAAGTCGTCTTTGTAGTCTCATCCTTTGTGGGTAACCCTGTATTATAATCAATTATTCAAAGGAGACGAATTATGAAAGTTTATTTTGATTGAAGTGTAATTTGTAATTTTGTAATTTGTAACTTTGTAATAATTGTAAATTTGTAATTCTTCTTTTACAATAAAAAGAAATTTTGAAATTATCTGTTTGAGGAGACTGAAATAATATTTTCTTTAGAAATTTAGGTAACGGGAATATTTTGCTGAAATGCCTGGATACTTGTGGTTCAGCTCATCAGGAATATTTTTTTGAACATTTTTTTTTTTTCAAAGAACCTGAGGTCAAACTTATGTGTAGTCAATCCAATCAGCTCCAATCAGCTATCCTTACCTTGTTCACAGATGGGAAATTTTGTGTTTGATACCCATGCAATCCCGATCGTCTGATCCAGGTATCCCCAGTAGGCACTTATGAATTCTTTTGCTTTTGAATAGTAGCAATTTTTCTTTTCTCTCATTGGTGGAACTCAAAATTGGCTTTTGATTGGCTGTTCGTTTTCTGCACTTCACGGGATATCATATAAAGATTAAATTAATCAGTAGAATAACAAAAGATCAATCAATACTTGATCTTAATATCCACAATTCAAGAATTCCCAGTTCAGAAATTTGAATAAAATCAGTTTCATTCGGTTATTCCTTGGTTATGTATGGATTTTTTTTCACTTTCCTGAAAAACAAAAGAATCATTTTGTTAACGACGTAAAAAACGACAAAAACAATCGTTTTCAAAAAGATTGTTTCTTTTTTAAATTAAAAAATGCAGAAGTCCTTTTTTTTTATTTAGTTTTTCTGTTAGTTAACGAATGTATGTCGCTCTTTGATAATCTTTTGTCAACGATGTATTAAAACTGTTGTTTAACAATTTATTTTCAAATTTTAAAACTGGAGTTGTATAAGAACCTGACTGTTCTGAGCTCGATTGATGCTTAAAGATAGAACCAGATTCAATCAATAGAAATAATGTCTTTCTGACGAGTGAGTGCGGATACTTAATAACAGCTAACCAGGTTTGTTATTAGGGAGTATATTTAAAGCTGCCAATAATAGAAAAATCAGAATCTAGATACGTAAAAAACTTTCATTGTCCAGGTTAATACAGAGTTAAAAGATTAATGCAGACCTTGAATGTTTCTTGTAGTTCAGTTTTTTTCTTTTCCATTTGTGTGCAGGGGTGATATACACCCCTGGCTAAAGTTTCTCTAGTTTGCCATTTTCTCTCTCTGACCCTGTGTCTCTGAATACTGTAAGAAGTGTCTATCAAGAGTCAAGACCCAAATTACTAAAACTTTTGT